CATTTTTTTGCTACAATCCCACCACATATGATAAAAAGTCCCTTCTTTTTCCTTACATTTCCAACACATATTTGAACCAGTTTTATACATTCTTCCTATCTGCACTGGAGTTATATACCATCTGTACATCATTTTCATATAATTTTCTTTCAGCAGAGAGCAATCTGTAAATTTTAAATCAATTTTCCACAGTCTTTCCCAGTCTTCAAACATTATGTTGTGGCCTATATCTTGTGCCCATTTAAGCATAACTGATTTCACCTCTTCGTCTTTTGTTTCCCATTCTAGCAGAATACTATATGCACCTTTCAGCAGCTTCACCTTCCCTTCTATGACTTCTTTTTGGAATCTAGATGTTGTGTAACTAAATCCTTTCTTCTTATCATCTTTGCATATTTCATGTAGTTGCCGATAGTGTAGCCAACTCTGAAAATGGTCTTTTATTTCCATGGTCATATATAGTCATTTTTTGGACACGGGTGGCACTGTGGTTTAAACCACAGAGCCTAGGACTTGCAGATCAGAAGGTCGGCGGTTCGAATCCCCATGACGGGGTGAGCTCCCGTTGCTCGGTCCCTGCTCCTGCCAACCTAGCAGTTTGAAAGCACGTCAAAGTGCAAGTAGATAAATAGGTACCGCTCTGGTGGGAAGGTAAAGGGCGTTTCCATGTGCTGCTCTGGTTCGCCAGAAGTGGCTTAGTCATGCTGGCCACATGACCCGGAAGCTATACGCCGGCTTCTTCGGCCAATAAAGCGAGATGAGCACCGCAACCCCAGAGTCGGTCACAACTGGACCTGATGGTCAGGGGCCCCTTTACCTTTTTATATGGTCATTTTGGACATTGCCGTATCAAAGTTATAGGACTAGACTTGCAAAGCAAGCAACAATAAACTTTTGACCTTTTGAAATTAGAGATGTGAACAGAAGCAGCAATTTAATACATATATTATGTTCACACATATGGCATAATACTATTTTTTCTAAAATGCAGATGGATCCTTTTATAAAACATTTCTTTGTAAACAATTGCAAGACAAGAGCTTTCTTCCATGCTATTAAATAACATCTTCTTTACAACTACCAAAGAAATTTTCATCTAGCTTGTCTTTCTTTATTAAACCTTGCTTTCCATGATAGGTCTCCTTCCTCTCCCCAGGGTCTCTTACTGCTGTCTGATATTAGTTGGCATGTTATCTAAAGTGTAATAATGTGAGATTCATATGGAAGCCTGCCGCTCTGAAAAAGAAATTGCTAAAATGAAAAAAGAAAGAAAGAAAGAAAAGCTTTGAGATGGCATAAACAAACTAAATATCAGATCAAGAACAGCAGGGGGGGAGGGGAGAAACACACTTGAATTTTGTTGAATGATATAGGTCCCTGTCTTTACTATCAGAGTGTGTAGCGCTGGGATAATTGCATTATTAGACAGACTGGATTGCCTACACGGGAGATTTCATCCTTCAAGAAAGACAATAAAGATGAGGTGGAAAGCTGTGGTGAAAAGAAGCGGATACCAGGGAAAGGTTTAATTTTGGTACTGGAGTGCCAGCGAGGAATGATGCTCAAGATAAAGTCCTTCATGTATCAGCAAAGGAACAGGTGTGATCATGATAGCACCTCCCCAATTCTGGAGCATCCTAGCTCTGGAAGACCCCTAAAAGTCTCAGCTCAGGCATGGTGAGATTTTAAAATTTAAAACACATGTCCAGTGATTAATTGGAGAAATGCTTCTGCTGTGTGTGTTTTTTTAATTTGCATTTTTAGTGCTTAATACGTTAGTGTTTTCAAAATGTTTGCAGTTTAAAATGATGGTTATCAGCTGCTGAGCTTGCAAGTTTGGGGAAATGTTATTTTGGTGAAGAATAAGAATAAGAATAAGAATAAGAAGAAGAAGAAGAAGAAGAAGAAGAAGAAGAAGAATTTATTTATACCCCGCCCATCTGGCTGGGCCTCCCCAGCCACTCTGGGCGGCTTCCAACAAAATATTAAAATACAGTAATGCATCCAACATTAAAAGCTTCCCTAAACAGGGCTGCCTTCAGATGTCTTCTAAAAGTCTTTGACATCTGATGGGAGGGCGTTGTACAGGGCGGGCACCACTACCAAGAAGGCCCTCTGCCTGGTTCCCTGTAACTTCACTTCTCGCAGTGAAGGAACCGCCAGAAGGCCCTTGGAACTGGACCTCAGTGTCCAGGAAGAACGATGGGGGTGGAGACGCTCCTTCAGATATACTGCACTGCACATCTCTCTGCCCACCAACCTTCATCCCTGATAGTCTCCCTGTTGGTTTTTTTAAAAGGATGCATGAGTGATCCTGGTGGAGATCCTGCCAGTGGGAGCAAGTGGAGGTAGCGGTGGAGGAAGCCTCTCTGGCACCTGGGGTGGTGCACCCAGGGCTGGGCAAACCACCCATAGGAGTGGTGCAGTGTGCGTGGCACCCATAGGGAGGGATTGGGTGTGCGACACCCATAGGGATGGGACACAATGCACGACACCCTTAGGGAGGGACAGGATGGGGCGTGCAGCGCCCTTAGGAAGGGACAAGGCAGACAGCACCCATAGGGATGGGACACAATGCACGACACCCTTAGGGAGGGACAGGATGGGGCGTGCAGCGCCCTTAGGAAGGGACAAGGCAGACAGCACCCATAGGGACAGCGCGTGAAGTGCCCATAGGGATGGGACGAGGTGCACGGCACCCTTAGGGAGGGACAGGACAGGGCACACGGCACCCATAGGGACAGGGTGGGGCATGTGGTGCCCATAGGGACGGGGTGCATGGTGGGGCCTCAGTTGCCCTACAGCTGGGGGGGGAGGCAGTGGCCAGACAGAGTGGAGTCTGTGGGCACTGGAGACATGTGGCCTGGGTGCGTTGCAGGTGGGTGCTGCCTGCCATTTTGTCACCCCCCTCAATGGGGACACCCGGGGCAGGCCCCACCTACCACTCCCCCCTTGCTAAGCCCTTGAGTGGAGGGACCAGAGGTGAGAAGGGGCTGAGATGCCCCATGGCTCATTCGCTGGACCTCAGGATAGTCCCACGGCCATTGTGTAATGACACTAGACCTGATGCAAGCCCAAACACTATGGCCGTCCAAGGCTGGCACATCAATCATCCTGCCACTCACCTTCTGCCACAATGCGCAGTGGATGCTGAGGATGCAGCAATGGTCCTGCCACTCTATAAATCCCCGCTGACCAGTGGCTTGGATTTGGATTGCTGCATCCTGAGATATGGTTTGCAGCCATTGATGATTGCCTCTGAATTTTGCAATCCCATTTGCCAAGTTTACCTCACTGTTGTAGCTCCGACAAAATGACACCCAGGCGGGTCTGAGAAATCTAAAGCGGTAATTCCTCCCTGGTTTAATCCCAGGTGTTCAAGAATACTGTCATGTTAATGTTCTTAAGCTGACAAGATAAAGAGAACTGTTCTCCTCAGGGGTGGCATTTGATGTGTTATTAATAATATTAAAAATGTCAGTTTGCAGCTGACATTTCTCTGTCACCAAGTATCTCTGGAATAGAATGGGGAGAATTCAATTCCTCTCCAAATCCACCACTCTCCCATAATCTCTAGGTAATTTGGCCATCATCTCATTAAAGAAATCCTAGTTTATGTTTTATGAGTTTCACATGATTGATTGATTTCTCCTACTGTTCATAATTTTGTGGCTTAGCTTTATATACACATTTTTGCAAACCGATTTTCACTAACATAATGCATTTTAATGTACACTTTACCCCTTCACGTGCATTTTCGTAGACGTTAAAAAAAACAACACCATGTGGCAAAAACTAGGAGCAAATAGGACCAAATCTTTGTTTCAGTTCATTTATTGTTATGGAAAATGTGAATTAGTTATGCTTTCCTTTAAATGAGAATGGAATCAAATGTCTCCTCTAACCTGGGACCCACAACAAAATAGTATGGGTATACTTGTTTGGGGCTCAGAGGGCAGGAGGCAGAGCAAAAGCATGAGAATGGAAGGAAAATGTACACACACACCCTTTTCCACCCTTCTGAAACTTTCCTCCTTGGCAGGGGGTTGGACTCGATGGCCCTTGTGGTCTCTTCCAACTCTATGATTCTATGATTCCTCCAAAACTGAAACAATTTATTTTTCTATGGAGGCTTGGAAAGGAGAATTCTGGAGAGCAGGATCTATCATCTATCTATCTATCTATCTATCTATCTATCTATCTATCTATCATCTATCTATCTATCTATCTATCATCTATCTATCATCTATCTATCTATCATCTATCTATCATCTATCTATCTATCATCTATCTATCATCTATCTATCTATCTATCTATCTATCTATCTATATCTATATCTATCATCTATCTATCTATCTATCATCTCTATTTATTTATTTATTTATTTATTTATTTATTTACGGCTATTAGCCCATAAAGTATGTACAAACATAAAAGCACAGAGGCATAAAGACTAATATATTCGGCACCAGAAGGTGAACACCATGATGCAGGGGTGGGTCATTGAGCAGAGCCAGATAACAGCTTGGGGCCCGGAGAGCTCCAAGGGACGGATCCCAGAAAAGGAGAACTGAAGACGAGATCCGACATGCACTCTCTTCAAAACTGTCCGATTAGTTTTTGATGTTGTTGTTTTTGGTGGTTTTTGTGTGTGAGATAACTGCATTCAGGAATCTCGCCACCTGCAGAGTTACAGAAGGATCTGTATCCTGCAAAAGTAGTGCGGCATGTGACTCAGCAGGCCTGCCAACCAAGCGCAGTAAAGCAGGGCCCAGGAATTTAGTCCTGGCTATGCTATGTAGGGGACAGTTGAACATTATATGTGAGAGAGAATCAACAGTTTTCCCGTCACACACGCATAGCGGAGACACCAAACCCTTGGAAAATCTGTGGCTCAGCAGGTTCGATGGAAAGACATTGAACCTTGCACGAATAAATGCATGTCGGTGTGGTACAGATGAAAGAGATGACATGTATGATGGAAGGCCAAGTGGTGAGGTTATTCCGTGATACCTGGGGGAGCAGACACCCTCACCCCGGCGAGGTTGTGTTGATTTTCAATGTCTGCTAATCTCTGCTCAATAAGTCTTTTGGCTGAGCGTAAGTTCATCTTTAAGGAGTCCGCTGGGGAAATTCCGATGCTCAGAAGTTTGGCATGGATTTTTCCTACCCACGGATTGACAAAGTCGTCCCGCCAGAGGCACTGAAAAAGGTAATGGTTGGGAAGCCTGTGCCAGCTGGACAGCCAATAACCAAAGACTCGCTTCCAGATGACCGTCTCCAATGATGCAATCCTTAACTCCAGACGTATGGCTGCGTTGCTCACACACATGGGGAGTTTCAGGAGGCGACGGAGAAACTGATTCTGCAATGTCCCCAACGATGTTAAATTGGACCCTGGGGCCCAGAGCGGGGCAGCATAACAGAGGGTGGAAACCACTTTTGCATGGTACACCTTCAATGCAGAAGGGATGTGGGAGGCTCCGTCGGCCGCAAAAAATTGGAGTAGAGTATAAAGTATTGTTTTCCCTTTGTTTAGTAAATACTGTATCTGTGGCTTCCAGCTTAGGTTGTAGTGAAAAAGACTCCCAGGTATTTAAATTTGAAAACTTGTTCTAATTGGACTCCATCTAACTTCCAGCTGTAAGTTTTCCGAGACCTGGTAAAGACCAGGACTTTAGATTTCCCATGATTAATTGTCAGATGGTTGAGTTTGCAATAAGCCGCAAAAATCTTTAGAGCTCTGCATAAACCGACTCTAGAGTAGGAAAGGATCGCTGCATCGTCGGCATATAAGAGCAGAGGGCAGCGAAAATCAGCTAGGCGGGGGGCATGAATGTTGGCTTGAGACTCATTCAGAAAGAGCTTCATATCGCTAATAAACAAGTTGAAGAGGAGTGGGGCCAAAATGCAACCTTGGCGCACACCTCTATTTATTGGGACCTCGTTGGATAGGTTTCCCGCCGGTGTGAGTCTCACTCTAGCCGACGACCCATGGTGTAATTGGGTTATAAGCCATAACAGCCTTCTATCTATGCCCCATCTCTCTAATTTCTTCCATAGACAGTTTCTTGGGATACTGTCGAAGGCGGCCTTTAGGTCTATGAAAGCGACACATAGGCGCCCCGACTCGGGGCAGAATATTTTCTGGCAAGATGATACATGATTACCATATGGTCAGTGGTCGAATAATTGTTCCTAAAGCCCGCTTGCTCGTGGCCAATCAAATTTGAGTCGTTTGCCCAATTGGACAGCTTGGACAGCAAAAATTTTGCATAGATTTTCCCGATGATAGACAAAAGGCTGATGTTCCGATAGTTCTCCGGGTCAGCAGGGGGACCCTTTTTATGGACTGGCACGATCACGGCCTCCTTCCATGACCTAGGGATAAGCCCCGTAGAATTAATTGCATCAAAGACTTTGGCCAGGATTTCAGCCCACCACCTCGGTTGCGCAACAATAGCCTCAGCAGGGACTAGATCCAGCCCGGGGGCTTTGCCCGTTTTCAGATCTAATATCAAGTCCATTATCAGGTCTGGGTCGGTAGAGGGCCACAAAGGTAGATGGTCGGCTCGGAATTCAGTGGATGAGTTGGATTCCTCTGCCAAGGAGAAATATTTGCTCAAGAATTGTTCCCATGTGGGCGCAGGGATAATCGTCAGTGGGTACTTCCTTCCTCTTTTGTTTATCAAAGCCCAAAATTCCTGTGGTCTGCGGGATCTAGAGGCCGCAATCAAGGCTCGCCAACGCTTTAGATACCACTCACGTTTGGCCAGCTTTAAAGTCTGTTTGTATGCTCTTTTGGCTTGTAAATAGGAGGATGGTAGAGCCTGGGCATTAGAGTTTTTGTATTCATTATAGATGGAACGAAGAAGGGATCTTGCTTGTTTGCAAGAGGTATTAAACCAAGGGGCCCCAGCACTGCAATGCGCTACTTTCGCCTTTTGAGGAGGTAATGTAAAAAAGTGGTAAGGTTTGTTGTAAGAAGGTTAAAAATTTCAAAACCGAATTGGAATCTTGTAAATCAGTAGCTATTTGAGGTAGATAGGCAGTGATTTCCCTATGGAAAAATCCTGGTATTTTTGGGCCACAGCCTCCGACCATTTGATCCCACTTATTTTGGTCGCTGATGAGGTTTCCAGAGGGACTGAGTGTTTATAGTCCTTCTGGTACCGGAACAATGACAAAGTGGTCACTATTGGGAGGTGATCACTGAAATGTTGGTTTTCAACTTGGAAGGAAAGTACATTGACGGCCAAATTTGCGGAGATCAAGAGGTAATCGATAACACTGTTAGATGCTGGTCCCAGGTGAGTGAACTCCCCCGATATACCGGGGGAAGGTGCCGTTCAAGAATACTAGATTCAGGCGAATGGCCATTTGGTAAAGGGTCACTCCAGCTTTGTTTACTCTGTTGTCCTTTGAAGTTCTAATTCTAGCATGTTCCAAGTCAAAGTTGCCCAAACATGGGGGAGTCCACCATTTGGACTTGATTAGTAGGTCCCAATTTGTGGCAATTCGAGCATTAAAGTCTCCCCCCATTAAGGAGTACGAGTTAGGGCATTTGGTATGACATGACAATAGGTGATTTTCAAATGATTCCCATCTCCAATCAAGATCAGGTGCTGAGCCTTCGGGGGAGATAACCATTAGTAATTAGTAATGAGGACTTCCCTTCTGCGATCAGTCCAGAAAGAGCAAAAGGCGGGGAAGCCCGTACCAAGGTGAATTTGGCGCGAAGTTGGAGTGAGATCCCAATCAAAAGACCCCGTTGGGGCGACCACCTTTCAAGGAAGGGGAGGCCGGAAGTGTTAGAAGATCAAAGCCGTCTATGGTAATCTCTTCCTCATCCCATGTTTCTTGGAATAGGATGATGTTAAATGAATTTATGTACTTCCTGAATTCGGGGTCTGATTTTTTGGTTCTCCAACCAGCAATGTTCCAGCTAAGTATTGATAATGTCGGGTCCTTGTGCTGTCCCGGTAATTGTCACTTTGAGTTGTTTAATGGGTTCTTGGAGGTAGAGCGAGGACCCATAAGGAAATCAGTAATTTTAGTTTGTGCGGATAAAGTCTTCTTCTGTGTTGATTGAATCCGTGATTTGGTAACATTAACAGGCAGGAAGGGCTTTGCCGGGGAGGAAGAATTAGGCAAAGTTGGTGAGGTCGGATGCTGTTCATTGAGGTGAGTAGTAGCAAGTCTTTGATGGGCTATACTAGTAGATCCATCAGAGTTATCAGTCTTAACCAGGGTAGCACTAGGAGGTGTTCCAGTCATCACTTGTAGTTGCTGCGCAGCTGGAGAAGAATTATCACGCAGATGTATAGAAGGACGTGAACGCGGAGATGGTACATGCATAGTCATTTCCTGGTGATCTTCAGACAGGGTAGATTCTAGCTCAGGCATTGAGGCAAAGGAATCGTCAACTTCCATATTTTGATTGGACATAAGGTCTAAGACGGGAGTATTGAGTTTATCAACTTCCTCCACGGTAGAATGGTGCTGTTGGAGCTGTTGGTCAACAGGTGATTGCTGATTCAGATCAGTAGGGGGTAACAAAGTAGCAGGTTGAGAGATTATCAGGGCATTTGATGGAGACGCCTTGTGGGACGTGGAGTGCCTGCTCTCCTCTCTCATCGGCATAGAGGGGTCCCCTTGCGATAGGAGTCTTTGTTTGAGTAGATCCAATCTATCGAGAATAGCCTGCTGTTCTTCTGAAGGGAGTTTTCCATAGGAGAAGATAAGATTTCTCTCTTCAGGGATATTCCAATCTCCGCTTGCAATTGGATCATTCCTCAGTGTAGCTAGATGGGCACTTGAGGTCGCAGATGGAGCAGGGGGTACCCAGCTAGGTGTTTTCCCCTTTATTATAGGAACAGAAGGAGGAAACGAGCGTTCATTGCCGGTTAAGATGTTGGCAAAAAGAGGTTTAACACTCGTGTCCTTAAAGACTCTTGTTGTTACAATCTCCCAGGGTGCCAGCCGATCTTTCTCTCTTGCAAGGAGATGTGGGATCCTTGCAGACTGGAAGGAGAGCATAAATTTCCTTGGCCAGGGCGTGGCAATTAGGGGTACTACAGATATAAGATCTATCTGGAAAAAGGAATATTTAACAAATCACGTAGGTACCCTTTAGCCATCCTCAGGTTATTCCACCTAAGTCTGGGGGCGTCACGGGAAAAAATGGCTAGACATATTTTATTAGGTTGAAAAATCAAGGATTGCCTATTCCTTTGGGGCAGTGGCGGCCTGCATCTTGAGCTCTTAAGGTGAAATTTCTGGTCAGGTTGTCTCTTTAAGGCACTTACAAGCTGCACAGGAGATTGATGCAAATTAGATAGCTCAGTTGAGGAAGGTAGATGAGCCAGAAGGGCCCGTGAAAGTTTATTCAATGTCAAAGAAATCCTCCAATTCCTTGAAAATGAAGCTTAAAGTCCTGATTACCAGTTGTATTTGATCAGGTACTAATTCATGGGCAGTTTGCCCTAATGCGTCCTGTTTCAATGACGGAGGTGTAATTAGGGTATCAGGGAGGAGGGCTTCCCTATGGCTTCCGTCCCCGCTGGATCAGCTAGCTTTTCCGGCTCTCCTTGATCATACAGAGGCCAAAAGCGGTTGTATGTTTCAACCGCAGAAACAATTACTTGCTCTGTTTTGCTGTTATTGTTAGTAGATGGTGGAGATTCAAGCTTCGACTGCTTTACTCTTGGAGGTGAGCAACCTTTCTCAGCAGATCTTGGTCGCTTGCCATGACCCATTTGTCGCTGTCTCACTAACTACGGAGGTTCAAAGTAGAGATAAACGGAGATAAAAGAGAGAACTTATCTTTTATGGGCGCAACTCCTCTGCTACTCCTCCTCCTCCACTTCTCAACATAGCCCAGTCTTCAAGGCGGCGTTACTAATCAGCGACAGGCTTTCTCAGCAGAGGGTTTGAATATCCTTGTTGATACGTATATTGGCACCAACAGGCCAACCGTAGAAGTAAAACGATTAAAAACTTCTAACAGAAGTAAAATAATTTAAAAGTCTAATAAAACAACTATAAAAACGGCAGTAAAAGGCTATAAAAGGCTATAAAAGGTTTGTAATCCGGAGGGTTCACGAAGGAGAAGTTGTTACAGCCGCCATC